AAAAAATTATTTTATTAAATATTAATACTTAAATTTAAAAATTAATTATATTAAAATATATAATAAGTTTTTATATTAATATATTATCATTTAATAAGATGAGATTTTAATTTTTAAATATAAATTAAAACTCTAATTATCTTTTAAAATTAAAATTGGAATACACTCACCTCTTAAATATTTTGATATTTTTAATATTAAAACTGATATTAGAAAAAATGCCGAAATATTTCGGCATTCGCAATTGCATGCAATCAAAAACTCCACCACTAACGGCCGTTTTTTCATTGTCAGCTCTGTTAACTAACCTGCTTTCCCAAGTCGCATTAAAACACAATCCAACGGCTGGGACGTTGGGGACGCGACCAACCCAAAAAGTCAACAAGTCAACCACAGAAGTTCTACCAACCACAACTCGCCACGCGTCAATGACCCATCTACTCAGTCCTCCTCGTAACAGCGTAGAAGATCGACCGGATTACCTGGAATGGCCGGTGGCCAACCATTTACCAATCGCATTTTTCTCTAGGCAAAATCAAATGTTAAGCCCCTGAACTAACCTATTATTTGAGTAATTTATCCCTTAATTCTTTAATTACTATAAAAATTAAGGTTAAATTGTCGTAAGAATAAAGATTAAAGTACTTATATTGTGGAGATGTGGGGTTTATATGCATCAAGTAAAGTTTCGGGATTCAATAATGAATCTGTGGTTAGTTTAAGAGCTTAACCTATGATTTTGCCTTCTCTCTCTATTACTCCTTTTTGAAAGGCTTCTAATTCTCTCTTCCTTCGGGTTTCCTCCGATGATCTTGCCGGAAAAGGCGAACAAAAGGGCAAAGCACAGAGAATCATCATCGTCACATGTGAGAATTTCTCTGCTTTTCTTCAAAGCTCCTTTCTTTCCGTGAGTTCTTCAATTGGTTTCTGATTTTATCAACCTATTTGCTGAGATTCTTCAACTTTTGATCTGGGTTCTGGGAGAATTGTTGGATTCTTCTTGAGGGTACGGTAAAAATTTTACCTTTTGATTGTTTGGTGATAGCTTAATCAAAGGTAATTGAAGAAGGAATTGAGGGTTGCTTCATGTTCCCGTTGTTACTCAGATTTTTGAATTTTTAAGGAACTTTTAGTGCGTGCAATCTAGGATCTGTTGGTATTTTCATTTCGTGAAGCTATCAGATGCTTGATGATTGGTAACTTTTTTGAGGTCTACGTTTGTTTTTGTCTGAAGAAATTCTATTCCTCATAGAGTAAGATTGGTCAATCCATTTCTGAGGCATTAAACTTGAGTATTTGCAACATTGACCTGGCAATTTACTTGATTTCTGCACTGATTTGGTCGTTCCAACCACATCTGAGAGGTTTCTGTAAGGATATTGGAGTAGGGTTCCTGAAGGTCTTTGATGTATGATTGGGAAGGGAATATGACCGCGGGTATGGATTTTTCACCTCCATCTGGGATAATTGAAGGTAGTTACAATAAAGACAATGTATCAGTCATGGAAAATCAGGGCTCGGAGAATTTGGATAATGTAAAACAAGTCACACATGGGAAACCTCCACGCCACGTTTCGGCTGTGCGAAATTGCATAAGCTCTGCAAGGCTGCTTGCTGAGGCTAATTTAGTAAGTTCTTATCTACTGTTTTGTCATGTGGAGTTTCACGATCCTAAGCTTTATTGTTTCATGGAATCATTAGTTTCTGTTTTAATGTTTCATAGAATCATTAAATTCTACTAAGCTGGCATATTTTGCTGCAATCTTTTCTTACTTTGTAGTAGAAATGAATTCATCCATGATGGAAATCTTTTGTTATCCTCTGGTTTGTATGCTCATATAGCTTGCAAGTGCACACTTTTATGTGAATGTGTCATCCTCTCTCAATTTTATCCACTCTACGTTTCCAAGAAATAAGGATTATCCACGGAAAAAGTCTGAAAGATCTGTGCATGTGTTCTTGTCTAGCAAATTACTGCATCAAGTTTACAAGATTGCAGTGTCATCTTGAGCTCCTTCTACGTTGTTTTCGTTAATGCCTGCTATGGCATGAGTAATCTGGAAATGAAGTTATACTTGTAAATTAAACCAGTTTAATCCAAAAAGTAGTTCCAGATATTATTTTCTTTTTTCGTTTTCTTTTTTCGTTTTCTTTCTTAAATTAGAAAGTGTATGGTCACACATTATTTAAGGAATGTTACTTAACTAACTTTTACTTTTCTCTCTTCTCCAGGAATTGGATGTCAGTATGGTTGTCCATAAGCCATCTTCTGATGAGAAAACAGAGTTTTTGCCTGTGTTACGATCAGGAAGTTGTGCTGAAATAGGACCTAAACAGTCTATGGAAGACGAACACATTTGCATCGATGATCTTGCTGAGCATTATTTAGGAACAGCTGTTGAGTTCCCTTCTCCAGGAGCTTTCTATGGGGTATGTATCTCAGTTTAATGGGTAAAATATTTAATTATCAGCTGTCTCATTAGCTATAAACTGGAGCATGCTGGCTCATCAATGTGGCATTTGGTATATAATATTAGCTTCCTTCAGAATAAATGGTCTGGATTGTTAGCCAATGTTGAAAAGTACAAGCTCTACTGACTCTACTGATACGACTTCTATTGAAAATGAAGTTTCTTTCTCATGCTTTTGCAATTTTGTATTGTCTCCTTATTAATTGCTTGTTCTTCTGCTAGCATGCTGTATTGCTGTGTGTCGACCCTTGTCCATTTACTATATATACAAATGAATGTTTAGCTGGTTTAATGGTTCATAAAGCATCACCATGGTTGGGCATGATCATAAACTGACTTTTCTTAAAACAAATTGACAGGTTTTTGATGGTCATGGTGGAATAGATGCAGCAACATTTATCAGAAATAACATCCTCAAGTATATAGTTGATGACTCTCATTTTCCCATATGTGTGGAGAATGCAATTAAAAGTGCTTTTCTTAAAGCTGATTACGCATTTGCAGATGCTAGTTCTCTTGATATCTCCTCTGGCACAACTGCCCTCACTGCCCTGATTTTTGGCAAGTAAGTGAGCTTTATAGTTGCCTTCTTTTTTTATTTTTGGTTATTTGTTTGAGAATCTAGAGCCTGCTAATGGTCCTGCAGAAGATGACAAGGTATCCCTAGGATCCTGACATCATTTTTCTCTTTTCAGGACTTTGATAGTTGCAAATGCTGGGGATTGTCGAGCTGTTCTAGGGAGACGTGGAAGAGCAATTGAGATGTCCAAAGATCACAAACCCAATTGCACTTCTGAAAAATTAAGAATTGAGAAACTTGGTGGAGTCATATATGATGGCTACCTAAATGGGCAATTATCTGTGGCACGTGCACTTGGGGACTGGCACATGAAGAGTCCAAAAGGATCTGCCTGTCCTTTAAGTGCAGAACCAGAGTTGCAGGAGGCAGACCTGACCGAGGATGATGAGTTCTTAATAATGGGCTGTGATGGTCTGTGGGATGTTATGAGCAGCCAATATGCTGTGACAATAGTGAGAAAAGAGTTGATGATTCATAATGATCCTGAAAGATGCTCAAGGGAGCTTGTTAGAGAGGCACTTAAGCGGAACACCTGTGATAACTTAACTGTGATTGTCATTTGTTTCTCAGCAGACGCTCCCCCAAGGATAGAAATACCACAAACTCGAGTAAGAAGGAGCATATCTGCAGAAGGGTTGAATTTATTGAAGGGGGTGCTGGACGGCAACTCATGAAAAGGGAGATTCTACATGAATTGTATACAAATCCAATGGGGGTTCAGAAACTTCCGGGTCATATCTCTTCCACGTTTCTACTGTTATTCCCCATTCTCTGGCTGACATTTAGCTTCATTGAGGAAGATCCCTGTGGTGTAGAATATGATTCTTTTTGAGTCAAATCCTGTACATCTCAGATAACTTACGTTGTACTGATTGGCGGGATTCATTGTTCACCTTGCCCTCTTCCTTCTCCTTTCATCCTCTCCTGTGTACATAATTTTATTGTTGAGAGATTGCTTTAGCACTATTCATTAAATCATCATTGATCATTTGTTAGATCAATTGATCATGGTGTCTTTTCAGTATCCTGCAAAACTTTCTGTAGGATTTTGAGCTACCATTTTATTCTCGTCTCTTATGTGAAGAAAGCAGTTACTAAAATTAAAAGGGAAACTTTAATGGCAAGTTTATTGGGAAAATTTTTATTGGAAAAGTAATTGAAAAGGCAAACACAGCTGAAAATCCCACCTTTAACCTTCATTATTCATACTATTGAGGTAAATATCCTAAAACATCCTTGAACTTTCCTGAATAAGGAGAAAGGCACTGGAAAAGTTCTTCTCCAAGCCAAACGCAACTAAAAATTTGTAGAAGCCTTCTTGCTCAGAAACTATAACAAAAAATTATCTGATTTGTCAAAATCTGTTACAATCACACAAAGCAAGTCATTTAGAGTTCGGAAATAACACATGATCCCCCTGGCAAGATTTGTTCGAGTTACGTGAAGAAGCATCAATTTGAACATAAAAAAAACCCCCTAGTTAATGCTCCATCATAAGTTGAGACTACTCTCCGTATCAAGCTTTATATGTATAACAGCATGTCTTTTCATGCCGACCCACAACTGATTTCAGTGACTTTTAGAGTTCCCCGTCATCTTCTTTGTCTTCATCACTATCCATAGACGACTCATCACTATCTGTAGACGACTCATCACTGCACAGAAAGAAATTTTGATGCAAGTCAGAACATCACATAATGCAGTAAAATTTACGGTAGGCAGCAATTGAGAAATCAACCATGGAATTTTTATCTGTGGCACACATGCTTGCTATTAGGGTTAATTAAAAAGGGGAAAGGTACAGTTTTAGGTCACGATTACTTGTTGAAAGGGAGCAAAGAAAAAAAAAACAAAAGCAGCATTACCTTGATTGGTTGCAGTGCTTGCTTAAATCTTGACATAGAACCTTGCTCACACCTCCTACCTTAACTGATCCTTTCTTTATTAATTCTGTCAACTGCACAAAGTATATGACATTTGAGGGACCAAGAATAGATATTCTTCATGTGAAATGCACATTAACGGTGTTTTGTTAATAAGACTGACCTCATCTTCAGCTTCCTCCAGTAACCTGAACCGCCATCAACACAAGGGGTTAAACCATGTTAGTTACAAACTAGCTGGTATAAATGAAATAAAATGCCAAAATATTACCCATAACAAGAGGCTCAGTCTCACCTTCCACAATAAGATGAGATGTCTTTTGAATATGCTTTTGCTTCTTGTTTGTCTATGGACAATAGAAACAGAAAAGTATTGGAAAACTTTTAAACATAAAAAACCCCTTTGGTAGAAAGACTTAAAGCAGAATTCCTAAATAGGGCTAAAGAAGCAGGCAGTGCGCATAAAATCTGATAACTGATAAGGGATACAACAGTACCGATTACAAGCAAAAAGGAAAAAGAAAGGGCAACATGAACAGAAGCATACTAGTTGCAAAGGTGTCCCAGTTAGTCACTTTGATCCACACTGGTTTGGTTGGATCTATCTGCAAATAGAAAGATATTTAACGTACTTAAATACAAATGTCACAAATAAATTTGCTAAATACTGAGTTTTTAGTTTCCATGAGATAAGAAGGAAAACAATTCAATCAAGTGACTGAGTAATGATTACCTTCTCAAGAGTGTAGTCTTGCATCTTTTCACAAAGCCCATCCAACAATTCTACAGCTCTCAGCTCACTAATTCTGGTTGAACCAATTCAGAAATACTAGTCATCATCATCTTCCAAAAAACTGTCCCAAGCAATAATAACATATTTCACAAGAAATTTAAAACATATATAGGTAGTAAAATTCCTGTAGAGTGCAATCACTGCTTCAGGTGCTACATTTGGAAATCCGAATATTCTACACAGGAAACAATGTATGTTTCCAACAACATACACTTTAGTCCAATTCCCCTGTTGAAGTATCATCGAGTACCAGTTGTTCCTCAACCTATTATTCTACTTCCTTTGATTCTTTTAAAACTTCTGCGTTTAATGTAAAATTTGCATTTTTAACAGCTATGGTTCTCAAATCAATCATAGTCCCCATTCCCAGCACAAATGAGGAAGAGGAGACAAACTGATCTAGTGTTTCCTTTCAGTAAGTAATTGGTGTAGGGGATTTGAAGTTGGGGACCTCCTCTTACTAGGGTGGATGATACTTTATGTGATGTCTCAACCACATTAATCTAGTATAAATTTCAAAAATTCGGAAGAATAACAACTCCAAGTTCTCTGGAATTCCTAGACGTCAAAACTGAAAAGAGAGCTTGAACAATACCTGTAATCAATTACCTTCCCTTCACGCTGACCTTTAGAGTCTAATCGATGTCTCATGTCCAAGTGATTCCTTGGTTTTTCCTAAAAACATTAACACAAATTACCATCATGTTGTTTAAAAATTAGCCAAACTGAGTTGCTAGGCATATACATAACAGATGGTTGAAAAGACATCATCAAGGGAACAAGAAGAAGAAACCGAATAACAGAAGTGCTTACCCTAGAAAGTTCAAGCTCAATCTCACTCTGCGCAGCAACCCAACAAAATAATCAGATCCCAAAATTACACCCAATAGAAATAATTCTATCAAAAAAAGTCCTTGATTTCTTTTGTTTCCAATCAATCCCATTATACCTATCTCAGATCACGTTAAGGGCATCAAAACATTCTTAATTTCAAGAAAAAATGAAGAGATCAAAACGGAAATGAAAATTAAGATCTGAATTCTGAAGTTCCGCTTGGGATCAAGAACCAGCGAAAATGGGAGAGCCTTAGAAAGGATGGATAGAGTTACCGCTACGGCATTGCAAGCAGCACACTTGTCGTCGATGCAGGCGGCGCCGGAGAAGATGGAGAATATCAGAAGAAGCCATACCATTGACTTCACCATCGTCGTCGTCGTCGTCGTCGTCGTCGTCACTGCTTTTGCCTCTTCTTCCTCCTCCTATTTAGATTTCCTTCTGCAGACTTCTCGTGTGGATCTTAATTCTTAAAACGACTAATTGTAAAAATTTTATGGGCTTCGGCCTCTGTTGTATGTTTGTGGGCTGGATCTTTCTTCAGATCCTGTAGAATTTCCGGGCCGGACTTTCACTAATTAAAATGAATAATTTTTTTTCTCTTTTTACAGCCTGAGGACATTTTAAACTCCAAAATTTAGTCCCTCAACTATTGTATGGATCTCAATTTGGCCAATGGGCTGTTGCTGTTAGTGATAGGAGAAGGAGATCTGGAGAAAGGATAGGGTTTAGGGAAGAAGGAGATAACGAATGTTTTAATCATCTAGTTTTGAAGTTTATTTCTTTATTAATTATCCTAATCAAGGTCTCTTTTTAAATTTATCATCCATGTTTCTAATTTTTTGACCAATTATGCTTCTGATGTTATTTAACAGGCTATGTTAGTAAAAACTTAATGGAAGGACCGAAATATGGCCAAATTTTCAAAGTTTGGGGACCAAAACAATAATTTTTTAAGTTAGGGTCAAAATCAAAGGTTCATGTGATAATTGAGGGACCACATTTTGGGGTTTAACCTTTTTCTTTCTTCCTTCCTATACTTTGATTGATTTTTTATGAGTGGACCACAAAATGCCATCCTGAGATCATGATCAATGAGTGCTTCTCCTTGATTGTCTATAGCTTTTATTTTTTGGACAATATGGTATATATTTAGACCTTGCACCCCATTAGTTTTTTCACTCCTATTAGTTTTACAGAATGTATAATGCTAATAATATAGTTATAATGGTATTTAAAATTGTAATAAATTATAATTATAATATGTTATTAAATAAATTAATATATAATATTATTAGTATATTTTAAATAAAAATATTTGATTATGTAATAATATATTATAATTATAAAATTATAATATTACATGATATATTAACTATTTTTTTTTTATGTATGAAGTATTTTGACAACTATTATCATGTAAAGATTTACCAAAAAAAAAGTGAAAATAATAAGTATAATTTATCTAATTTTTTTAAAATAAGATGATAATAAGTATAATTTATCTAATTTTTTTAAAATAAGATGATAAGGGAGGATTTATACTCATAAATTGAATACTATTCACATATTTCTTTAACATTTCAAGCAATAAAAAATATTATAATTATAATATCACATCACATTATAAATTTATAATATAATATATCGTTATATAATTAACTCTTTTATTTATAAATCTAATTATTATATTATATGCATTTATTTGTTTAAGAAGGCATTATACTCATTTAATATCACATTTTGATTATAAACATATAATCATATATAATATTATAACTATAAAATTACCATTAGTTAATGTCAAAATATATTTTTTTTAATAACGAACAATTACCTATTACAACTATTATATACTTTTAATAGAAACTGAGAGAGGAGTTAAAGGTCAAATGCAATACGCCTCAATGATATTTTCATTTATAAAATAAAGTGTTACCACTATGTCCGCATATCACGTGAAGAACTATTAATTAATGTCAATGAGAATTATCTTTTTTTAAAAATACATATCTTTAATTTTTGTTTAATTAATCTCATAGACACTCAACGTATGGGCAGAAGTACCACGCAAAATAAAAATCTTCTACTTTGGT